TTGGAGATTGAAAATTTGTATACAAGTTCTATTTGCAAATGTTCGAAATAATCCACAGTGTAATTTTTTTAATTAATTTATTTTTTATTGAGGGATAATTGCTTTACAGAATTTTGCTGTTTTCTGTCAAACCTCAACATGAATCAGTCATAGGTATACATATATCCCCTCCCTTTTGAAACTCCCTCCCGTCTCCCTCCCCATCCCACCCCTCTAGGTTGATACAGAGTCCCTGGTTTGAGTTTCCTGAGCCATGCAACAAATTCCTGTTGGCTATCTAGTTTACCTATGGTAATGTAAGTTTCCATGTTACTCTTTCCATACATCTACCCTTTCCTCTCCTCTCCCCATCACAGTATAATTTTTTTAAAGTAAATAAAACAGGCATCCTAGCTTAGTGGTCAGCCTAGTTTTAATGAAAAGTTTTAATGAAAAGTTTCAAGACAGATAATACTAATCTTACATGAACACTGCCAGAGGATAGCAAAGAGGGCAACTAAGTTGCTCAACTTAGTCCATGAGACTAGAAAACCTTGACCCTAGAACCAGCAATTATGCTACGAGGAGGGAAACATCAAGTCAATCTTGCTCATGAACAGAAGACAGGCAAATTCTAGGCAAAACTTTAGCAAACTGAACCCACCAGTGTACACAAAAGATGCTACACTGTGATGTATAGCTACATCTATCCTAGGAGAGCAAATCTGGCGGAAGGAGGCACGAGAGAGATTTGGGTGTTGCTAATATATTCTGCTGCTTGCCCCAGGTGCTAACTGAATGCGTATGTTTAATTTTTGAAAACTCACTAAGATGCACACTTACGATTTTGATTCTTTTTTGATTATAAGATATACTTCACTAAAAATTTTGAAAGAAACCTCATAAATAACGCTCATTATATTAACAGATCCAAATGAATAGAGTCCTGGTCATTTCAATAGAGGCCCCAAAGTTAAAATCCAATGATCTATTCATGATTTTTAAGACAAACTTATTAAACTAGAAATATAAGGGATGCTCCTTAAACTGATAAAGCAAAAGAAGAAAAGAAAAAGAGAGAGGAGGGAGAGAGAGAGGAAGAAAGAAGAAACAAAAGTGAGAAGAAAAAAATAAAGAAGGAAGGGAGGAAAGACCAAAAAAAAGGAGAAAGAGAGAATGAAAGAAAGAGAGCAAACAATGAAACAAGCACAGAAAGCCCGTTTTAATATGGAAATGTTGGCAACATTCTGTTTAATATTAGGAACAACCCAAAGATGCCCAATTTTGCCATCTCCATTTGACCTTGTAGTGGATGTCCTAGCCAGCCAGTAAGAAACTTGTAAACCGATTATCTTACTTCTGTTACTCACAGATTCACAGAAAACTGCAGACCACTTATAGACACATGATAAAATGTCACAGAGTTTAGCATGGTGGCTGACTTTAAGATCAATATATTCTTTTAAAAGTCAAATGGATTTCTATAAATTAGATAGGGATAGAAAATGTCATTTTGAACAGATATCAAGCACCAGAGCAACACGATTCCAGAGTATCTTGAAAGTGTAAGTTGCTCAGATCATGTCTGACTCTTTGCGACCTCATGGACCATAGCCCGCCAGGCTTCTCTGTCCTTGGGATTCTCCAGGCAAGAATACTGGAGTGGTTTGCCATTTCCTTCTCCAGGAGATCTTCCTGACCCAGGGATTGAACCTGGGTCTCCTGCATGGCAGGCAGATTCTTTACTGTCTGAGCCGCCAGAGATAATATCTTGGAATAAATACAAAAAGTATGTACAAAATCTGAATGTAAAAAAGATAAACACTAAGCTGAAAGATTCCAGCGTTAAAGAAGACCCACAAAAATAGAGAGCCATTCCATGTTGGTGACAGGAAGGCTGAATATCATAAAGATAGCCAATTCTCCCTTAACTGATCCACAGATTTAATGAAAATGTAATCCAAATCTACCGCAAATGAGTTTTCAGGGAACATGACATGCTGATCCTGACATTTACATTTTTGAGTTTAGGAAGGACAAAACACAAAGAATAGCAAAGATACACCTGGAAATGATGAATAAGGTGTGAGGACTTGTCCCACCAGAGATCAAGATGTCTTACTAACAGATAAAAATTAAGAGAACGTAGTACTGGCACAGGAATAGATCGACTTATCTGTGGAACAGAACAGGGAACTCAGAGACACGAATGAAGACCAAAATGACTCCACACACTGCCAATTGTTCCCTGGGGCGGCAAAATCGGATTTCAAATTGAGAGTCCCTGACATAGGGATACGGAGGGATCTTAAAAACACAGGCTGATTTTGTAAAAGTAATTTACCGAATACCAAGGATGCCTGTTTAAAATGCTTGCTGGAGCAGGAAATGGCAACCCACTCCAGTGTTCTTGCCTGGAGAATCCCAGGGATGAGGTCACACAGAGTCGGACAGGACTGAAGTGACTTAGCAGCAGCAACAATAGTAGCTTTGAGTGGAGAAGCTGTAACGAATTTTGTTCTTTCAATTCTTGTATTTACTGCATTCTCTATGAGCAGAATATACTGGGTTTCTCTGGTGGCTCAGGCAGTAAAGAATCTGCCTGCCAATACAGGAGATGCAGGAGACAAGGTTTTGATCCTTGGGTCGGGAAGACTCCCTGGAGAAAGGAAAGGCTGCCCACTCCAGTATTCTTGCCTGGAGAATCCCATGGTCATAGGAGCCTGGTGGGCTACAGTCCATGGGTCACATTTTCTATGAGAAGAATATATTAGCTTATATTTTGTAATATATAATAGGACTCATAAACAATCACTGTTATGTCTGGGGCAGTAGGGAAATCTCACAGTATGTGCTTATTATAGATTTCCAGTTTTCTGAGTTTAATGAAATTCAATACAAACTTTTGAGCCAATTGCGATGGTTTTGCCAATTCCTTCTAGAACTATTAATAAGAGCCATCAGAAGTCGAGTATATAAAAAAAAGTTTGACTTGCTTGGTGCTTCAGTGCTATAAGACATCTGATGATTAGTTGCAGCTGAGGAGGAAAAAGCATCTTTTTAGTTTTAGAAAAACTAAAACTCTATCAAAATTTCCTAATGGTAATTTCTTGCTTGTTCGTTTGCTAAACTACTTGTTCTGAATATAAGAATAATAAATCCTTGTTATAAACAAAATAAAATAAAATGCTTGCATATACAGTATTTCACAGGGCTTCCCAGGTGCCACTCGTGGCAAAGAATCCTCCTGTCAGCGCAGGAGACGTAAGAGACATAGGTTGGATCCCTGGATCGGGAAGATCCCATGGAGAAGGAAATGGCAACCCACTCCAGTATTCTCACCTGGAGAATTCCATGGACAGAGGAGCCTGGCGGGCTATAGTCCATAGGCTCGCAAAAGAGTCGGACGCGACTGAAGCAACTTAGCACACAGTATTTCACATCCAAAAAGCAAAGAGTTTGGGAAACAAGGTTTGGGGAGCACAAAGCTCCACTCCATTTCTGGAGTCGAATGGCAGGCCCAGTAAAGCCACCCAGCACAAGGAGAAGTGCGTGAGGGAAGTGAAGGGAGCGGTGGGTGGGGCTTTTGCCATGACCTTCAGATGAACCTGAAGCTCATTGGTCACTGACCACAGCGGTGGGTGGTGAAAAGCAGAGCCAGAAGCTCGTTGTCGGTTGAAGGAAGGGCAGGAAAGGGACCGAGAGCTGGGTCTTCCTTCGGGCCTCCTGTCACAGTACCTTCGATCCTGACCTGCTGGAGGCTGGGGTAACCATAGGCTGGCATCAGGAATAGGACCCTCATTCTCCACACCTCTTCTTTCCTCCCGCCCCGCCCCCACCCCCCCCCCCCCCGATCCCCAATCCCTTCTCTCCTCCACCTCCTCAGGGTACCTCATATCCCACCCTGCCCCACTCCTCCCCCCACTCCACACCCCACACCCCACCCCTCCTTCGCTGAAGTCCTGTGGGATGATCGCTTGCTCCAGACTCCTGACCCCTGGCCTCTGGCCACTGGGACAGGGCTTATGTCCCCCCACCCCCAGCCCCGCCCACCTCCTGATTCTGAGGTGGGGGTGACAGGGAACGGTTGGGTAGCCTGAGAGGAGGGAGGTGGTGAACTCTGGATTTGGGAGGAGGGGAAGCTGTGCTCAAGCATAATTGTTGAAGTTGTTGGGGAGGAGCATGGAAGACTGTTGGGAGGCTGTGGAGGGAATGCATGGGTTTGCGTGAAAGCAGAGAGAGTGTGCTGGTGCAAGAGAACAATTAGTGCAGTGAGGAGTTGGCTGTTGACTAGGTCAGGGTCTGGCGTTCAATAGGGGGCTCAACAAACATCTACTTGGTAAATCAATGAGGGGATGAATGAAAGTAATCATTGAAAGAAGGGCTTGAGATGCAGCAGGACTCTAGGATTTCATGATATGATATGATTTCAGGGTGTCAGTTTAAAGAGGGAGCAAGAAAATAATTAAGATTTTGATAGAGTGCAAGAAAAACATTGGAATGGAAGATGAGAGGAAAATTGAATGTAGGGCATACATGAGACCAATAATAGAATTGAGTGCAGGACATAAGAATCATGAGTATGGAGTGGATGAATGCAGGAGGTGAGGAAGACAATTGTGGAAAGGGATGCCAGGAATAATAGTTGGGCATAGCAGAGTACAGGATGATAAACATGAGAAAGGGAAGTAGTAATTGTTGAAAGAGGCACGAGAGTGCATGTGTATTGCCCGAAGGGGTCAGGGGTCCATGTGAAGTGAAGGTAAGCAGGGGGAGTAATAATTGGATTGGAAGTATACAGGACCCATGCCCAGAGTTTCTTGGAACTGGCCTATATGTGAGTGGGGCTTCCTGGGAAGGAGACTACATGAGCAAGAAGGGAGGGTGCAATCTCATTTCAGCAGTGAGCTGGATGGAGAAGAATCCAGCCACCTCAGATGGGGTTTCCCAGGGGCATAGGAAGTATGTAGGGGGTAGGGGATCGTGTGGCCACCCTGACCTCCACTCCTTGTCCTAGAACCATGGATCGCAATGAGATGCCTGCTATGCCCTGCTGCCTCCCCGACTCCACCACTGGACTTGAGACCGGAGCCCCACAGGCGATTGAACTTGGCCCCAGAAGATCTATGCGTCGCTGTGCCCGCTGCCACAACCATGGCATCACTGACCAAATCAAGGACCAGGAGCACCTCTGCCTCTTCCAGGCCTGCGAGTGTCACAAGTGTGTTCTCTTCTCGTGAGTATGGCATCTGACAAGGTAGGCCTCCTCTAAAGGTGACTGACCTTAGACCCGCAATCCTCCTGCTTTAGGGAACACTCCAGCAGCTTGCCTGCTGAACGTGACTTGAAGATGGAGCAGGGGCCATACCTAGCGAGGCGCCCGACTCGAGGACGGATAAGGCGTGGGACCACCTCTCCCAGAGCTCACGGCCGTGCCAAGAAGTTGGGCACTCAAGCAAGAGTCCCCAGTGAGTGTCTCTGGCCAGGGAGGGAGTTGGAGTTTTGGGTGTAGGGAGCATGAGTAGTTCCGTCACCAGTCCTACCACCCAGTTTCTATGTGGCTTTACTCCTTGGGAAAGTTACTCTTCAGGCCTTAGCTTCCCCAACTATAAAATGCCATCAGTATTATCTACCAAGTGTTGGTGGGAAGGAGAGATCTGGGAAATCAAGAAGGGTCTAGAGTGGGACAGGTTCGGGGTGAGGTAGAGTGGGATGGGATCAGGGGGTAAGGCTCACCTAAGCTGTCCCCAGTGTCTCACAGTTGGGAAGGAGAACATCACGCCTCAGCTCGAGGCTCATCCCTGTGCAATCCCCGAGGAGGAGTCTGGGGCCAGTGTGGGAAGCTCTGACCTCAGCTACTGCTCAGAGCCCTTCCTGTGTCCTGAAGACCTGGGTACCATCTCTAACCCTACCACAACTTGCCATATGACCCTGGGGGAAAACTACTTCTCTATGGGTCTCATAGTCCTCAGTCCCAAAATGAATAAGAGGACTAGGTTGTCTTGTAGGTCTTCTCAGCTAGTCCTCAGTCCCAAAATGAATAAGAGGACTAGGTTGTCTTGTAGGTCTTCTCAGCTCTATCCTTGTCCCCAAACATGCCCACATCTCCTCTCCATGTCCGGCTTGGTTCCTGACTCCAACCTGTGCTCTCTGTTCCCGCAGACAATCTTCCAAGGCCCTCTGCTGCTCGGTCAGGTCGTGGGATCTTTGTCTCTGTCCTGGACTCCAGCACCCTTGAAGAAGCAGCTAACAATTTCTCTTTCAAGGTCACACAGATCCCTTGCCCTGCCAAGCAGGTAAGTAGAGTGAGAAAGACCATGGAGCTACTTGTATATTGTGTTACTGAGTGTCCAAACCTTCTGCTTAAGGCTCTGGAGCTAGAAGGAGGAGATGGAGGCAGTACAGGGCAGCTGGGGGCAGGGGGCGAGGTGGAGGAAGGGGAGGAGGAGCAGGCATCTCAGACTTAGGGGCAACGACAGGGCTCTCCCAGCTTTGCCATTTCCAACTTGTGAGACTTTGGACAAGTGACTTTACATATCCGAGCCTCCGTTTCCTATCAGTGTCCTGAGAGGGGACAGTATTCTACACCTATAGAGAACTTCTGACTCATGGGAAAAGACCTTGATGCTGGGAAACACTGAGGGCAGGAGAAGGGGGTGACAGAGGATGAGATGGTTGGATGGCATCACCAACTCAATGGACATAAGTTTGAGCAAACTCAGGGAGATGTGAAGGACAGGGAGGCCTGCCATGCTGCAGTCCATGGGGTCACAAAGAGTCAGACATGATTTAGCAACTGAACAACAACAACAACATAGCATTGAAAAGAGGACTAGCACAAGGCCTGCCACATCACAGGCCTTTGACAACTGGAGGTTGTTATTCCACATGAAACAAACGGATGGGATAGAAGCTTCTGCTGAGAAGGGGAGCCATAATGGTGAGGGACACCATCTTGCCCAGGCCAGAGTCTAATAACCATCAGAGAAAGTGTCCTGGAGATGAGTCAAGCTGGCCCTTCAAGCCCCTTTGGGGATTGGGGAATATAGGGGCAAGAACCAGTCCCTGGACAGGAACAGTAATCACATCTCTCCAGGTGCATTGCAGATTAAAATGCAGACACCTCTGATTTCCCATAATCTTTACTGTTGCTCCAGGATTTTTTTTTAAAAGCTGAGAGAAATTGGTGTCTCAGGAAAGATACAGAAAAAAAAAAAAAAATGGAAACGAAGACAGGCCAGGCAGGGGAAGGGACTTGTCTAAGCCACAACACCTAATGGCCATTCAGACTCCCACATGCAGATATTGTAAAATCTTGGCCCCCCTCCCCCCTGGTAGTATGTACCTGCCAAAGGGATAAATCCCCTGGTCTCTCCTTTCCTTGTTCCTAGACACTCAACTCTGATCCTCCAGCCCCATGCCACCCTTAACCCCATTCTACTGCAGCCACAGACTCTGGGGAGATTGTAGGGTCCAGAACCCTGGCAGGGGCCAAGCTTAGTGAAGGAGAAGAGCAGAAGGCCTCAGGGTAGCCGGGGACTGAAGGGGCATGGAGGGAGTGTGGGTTCCCAGCTCCCATTCTCTCACATCCTTTGTTTTCAGGCTCCCGAAGCTTCCAACCAGGCCTCGGCTTCTGCCTCCTCAGAGTGGCAGCGAAAACTAGAAGCAGCCGAGGCTCTGCTGGCTCTGAGAAAATCTTCTCCGGCCCCTTCTGGCTCCATCTCTCTGCTCCAGCCCTGCGTTGCTCCAGGTAGCCTGGTCTTTGAAAGGAGAACAAGGGGTTGGGGACAGTTTGGAAATGGGAGGCTGTTGTGGTAAGCAGGGCCTAACTGGGAAGTCAGAGTTGGAGGGAGGTAGGGGGGTTGAACTTCTTTGGACCCAGGCTGCCAAGCTCCTCAGTCGGACTCTTGAAGTGGCAGTAGATGGTTGTTCAGAGAATCACTGAGCATTTACTGAGCATTGTGCTCAAAAGCAAATGTTCACTGCCCTGATGTCAAGAAATAAGGAAACTGAGTCCCTGAGGATGGCAGGGACTTACCAAGGGCATGCAGCATATCAAGTGGAAGAATCAGGTCTCCTGGCTCCCAGTCCAGAGCTTTCTACCCAGACTCCTGCAGTCTGCTGTGATCTGGGGAGGACATGTATAGGTGATAAGTGTCTAGTAGAGAAGGAGATCTAGTTCCTGCCTTCAGGGAGCTTCCAGTCTTGATGTGGAGCCTGGATGCCTCCACAAGTCATGTTTTGGGGCTGAATCTCAATGTTGAGCCTGGAGAAGAAGGACGGAGGAGAGGTAGACACCTGGGAAGGTGAGGGGGAAGGCTGGGCACTACCAGATCAAAATGGAGTGTGATATGGAGTGTGAGTGAAGCAGGCAACCCTGGAGGAACTGCTAGAACACGATGGAAGAAATGAGCGGGGAAGAGGCTACCAGTCACGGAGGTCTGCATGCCAGGCTTAAGAGGTTTGGCCAGCAACTGTGGGTGATGAGGGACCAAGGAATGTCTGAACTATAGAGGAGCATGTTTGGAGATCCTGGGCTTGACAAAAAGAAATGTGGTTGCTGTGATGGAGGGATTGGAGGAAGCAAGAACTGAGATGGGCAAATCAAGGAAGAGTTCTGCGCAATATAGTCCAAGGTGACACAGCTTTGACTGGGTGGAACAAAAAGAGGGGAGAGCTGGGAGGACAAATGGATGTGACCTGGCCCTGACCTTTTCTTTTGTGTTGACAGCTCCTGATGGAGATAAAGGACTTCAGCCTTCTAGGCCCCCTCTTTGACCCAGGCCGGCCAGCTCCATTTCTCTGCCTAATGGTCACCTGGGGTGCGTCTCCCTCTTGAACTAGAAGCCCAGAAGTGGGCAATTCACTAGAAAGATGTCTATTTATGCATTTGCAAAGTGCTTAATGTCCAAAATTCTTACTGTATTTTAAAAAAAAGCACTTAGGCTCTTTTATAGGCTTTTTATTATATGGGGCAATTCCTTGACTGAGGGGGGATATTCCTCTACCTCCATCCTTTACTCTGTTGGGTCCTGGGGCCTTATAATGTCTCTTATGAAAACAGGGTTTTGCAATCTAAGCTGATCAGTCTCTAAGTAGGGTTCTGTGTGAGTTCATCTGTTCATCTGCCAGGGGTTATTTTGATTCATGATTGCAAACTTACCAGCATGCTCACATACTTATCCATGCATGTGAAAATCTGAGGATGTTTTCATTTTGTGTCTAGGTTTGTGTATGTGAGCAAATAATAAACCTTCTTTGTAAGCCACTGAAATATAGGTGTTGCTTGTTACCACAGTATAACCTAGAGTACCCTGAGTTTACCATGTTCAATTCACTTTTCAAAGGGACAATCACTTTCCTCAATAACTGGGATTTCTTAACATGGCTTGATAAGGAAATGGTAAAGAAAAAAAAGGGTAGGAGATTTACTCATTCAGCAAGTAAGTGCCTATACCCTGCCTGGCATTGACTGCTTCCAGTTGTCCAGAAGGCCACAAATTCAGATGTCTGCAGGATCAAGCAGATTATATAAATGAGTAGAGCAAGCCAGATGGGGTCTGGCCAATTGAGAGTGCATGCTCTACCTAAGGGGGCAGCTGTCACTTGGCTCTAGCCAATTGTTGCCATGCAGGAATGCAGACTCATTGTTGCCACACCTCTTGATTTTTAAAGATAAGATGAAACTCTAGATTTCTATGCAAAATATCTCAATTTTGAAATATTGGCTCTGGTTTCCTCTAAACTCTTGAAACGGGCCAAACAAAAACTTCCAAGCAGGCCAGCTTTGGCCAATAGAATGCTGGCTTGATCCTAGTCCAATACGTATTTTACAGTGGGGAGAAACTAAAGCCAATCTGGACAAGAAGACTCAAAGAGGGGAAATTAATTAGATCTGAGACCTATTTTGAAGGACCCAGGAGATACAAAGAAGAATCATTATCATTTGGTTAGTCTGTGTTCACTGAACACTAAGCTCGTATAACCTCACAGTAGTTCTGTAAGCTCAGCGTAGGACTTCCCTGGTGGCTCAGATGGTAAAGTGTCTGCCTACAATGCAGGGAGACCCAGGTTTAATCCCTGGGTCGGGAAGACCCTCTGGAGAAGGAAATGGCAACCCACTCCAGTACTCTTGCCTGGAAAATCCCATGGACGGAGGAGTGTAGTAGGCTACAGTCCGTGGGGTCGCAGAGTCGGACACGACTGAGCAACTTCACCTTCACTTTCACACATCAGGAAGTGTGCTCAAAGAGGAAAAGTAACTTGCACAAGTAAGTGCTTGAAAGGAAATTTTAAGGCCAAGGTGGTTGGGGGGAGGGAGAGACTCCTTTCTCTTTGATTTGCCTTAAATTCGCTAATAAATTTACTTTTCTTTCTTTTTTTTTTACAAAGTGTCCAGTGAGAGGTTCGAAACTTGAAGCGGCAGAACCACTACGATATTGTAAAGTAATTAGCCTCCAACTAATAAAAATAAATGGAAAAAAAATAAATAAAATAAATAAAAAGCAGAGACGTTACTTTGCCAAAAAAAAAAAAAAAAGAAAGAAAGAAACTTGAAGCGGCAGACACCCAGCTAGGAGGGTCTTTCAAAAGCCATCCCTTTATTTTGTACTCAAAGTAACAGTCTGTGGTAATCGATCAAATCTTACTTTCACCTGTTTCTCAGTCCTCTGCTGATGTTCAAGATCCTGCCCACCCACCTTCACCATACCCCCACACATGTTGAGCTATACCTTTTAAAAAAGTCTCTGAATGGCATAGTATAAGCATCTTAGGATATTGTTATAAATGTTAGACATCAAACATCTTTTGTGAACTGTCCTTTGGTCACTACTCCAGTTCACGTGTTTAAAATATCACTTTACATAACAGTGTGAATTAGCTCTTGACTCTGATATGTTGTATGACAGCATTGATTAGGTCTGAGGATATCCATCACACCAGAGCATCTGCAGAGTGGATTAGTCTCAACCAGTGCTACGCAGGTAAATGATTAACAACAGGCGCTGGGGGAAGAAGAAGGGTTGCAAGAATCACCCTGTGTTGTAGCATTTGCCAATTTCAAGCTACCAACGAGATGTCCTTTGATGCAGAGTTGGGAAGAGATGCATTTCCATCATTCAATTACAATAAATATACATAATCTCAAGAGCACAGATAATAGTAAAACGTAGGGAAGTAATTAGAAATCGATGACTTTTGATCATATATTATGTTCATTTTCAGTATAATGCATATGCGATGCATTTGTTACTTAATGCATTTAGTTTTAATAACAGCTGTGTTTAACAGCTGGCTCACGAAATTCCTGACAATGTGATAGTCGCCTCTTATGTTCCAGTAAGAGTCCTCTCCAGCACGCTACTGCTTTCAGCTCTTGCCCAGAAAGGCATCTCTTTCAAATCAGGTCACACTAACACTGCAGGGCTGCTGCCACTGGTTTCTGATCAAGAACAGCCTAAAGTGAGGGGAAAGTATTCGTTACTGATTTTTAAAAATCGAATGATCTGGAACGAATATTGAGCAAAATGAGTTGTCAGCATTGTTTATGAGCAAACATGCCTTGTCTGGTAAAGGCCGGAACAAGCAAGACTCATGCAGGGATGTTGTTAACAGATTTCTTAAAGGTTAAAGGAATGGGGCAACTGGTGTTCCCTGGCCATGGGATCTGTATCTCTCATCAAGAGACAGACATTCATTACACTCCCTCGTCTTTCTCAGATGAATGCTGCATAATCTACACAAACTTCTCCACCTTGCCTTTTTTCACTTAAAAATATGCCCTTTGTCGTTGAGTACAGGCACCATGTTACACAGATCTCCAGAACATACTCATCTTATACAACTGTAACTTTATATTTGCTAAACAACTACTCTCCATAGTCCCCTTCTCCCATCCCCTGGAAACCACCATCCTATTGTCTGCTTCTGTACACTTGACTATCTTCGATGCTTCGTGTAAGATGAATTGTGGGCTTCCCAAGTGCCACAGTTTTAAAGAAACCGCCTGCTAATGCAGGAGACACAAGAGACACAGGTGCCATCCCTGGGTTGGGAAGAACCCTTGGAGAAGGGAATGGCAACCCACTCCAGTATTCTTGCCTGGAAAATCCTATGGACAGAGAAGCCTGGCAGGCCACAGTCCAGGAGGTTGTTGAGTCGGACACGACTTGTGTGACTGAGCATATATGCACTCTTACTAGTCAAATATATCTACAGTGAATAGATTTGTGACATCATCTTATACAGTTTTTATCAGTGTATCTTTCAGTTTGATTATGAGATATACTATTGCTGAAGAAAATGTGTAAAGAAAACACATATAATCTTGCTCATTACTGCCATATTCTCCTTCAGAAATGCTGTACCTATTGCCTTTCCTTCATCAGTATATGAGAGTGCCAATTTCCCTGAGTTTTACCAGTAATGTTGCCAGAGTTTTGAATTTTGCCAATCAGATAGCAGATAAATGGTATATCAGTGTATGTTTTAACTTACATTTCCTTTAATGTGGACAAGTTTGCATGTTTTTTTTGTATGGTTAAAACCCACTCCTCTTTTCATCTTCTTTCTGTACTATAAACTGTCATTTTAGGCCCAATTTCTATAGGGTTTTTTACTTTTTCTTATTTTCAAAAAAAGTTTGCAACCCTATGGACTGTAGCCTGCCAGGTTCTACTGTCTGTGGGATTCTAGGCAAGAATACTGGAGTGGGTTGCCATGCCCTCCTCCAGGGGATCTTCCTGACCAAGAGATCAAACCCACATCTCTTATGTCTCCTGCATTAGCAGGTGGGTTCTTTACCACTAGCATCACCTGGGAAGCCCTCTTTATATCTTAGGGATATGCTACAATCTTGCCCTTTTTGTCTCTGATAGAAGTGGAAAATATTTTTCCCGTTATGCATTCTTTTTTGCTGAGTTTATGGTATCTTTAGGGAAATTTTGCCATGAAGAAGTAGTTAATTCTTAGACAGCCAAATTTATCCATATTTTGCCTTATTTCTTGTGGATTTTCATCCATAGGCGGATTTTCCTCATTCTTAATGTATAGAGGATTTTTTTGGTGGTACTGAAATGATTTTGAATTTTATGTTCTAAACTCTGTTCCATTTGGAATGTATCTTCATGTACAGTGGAAGAAAAAGATGCAGTTATGCAAACATCACCTGTTAAAAAAGTGCATCTTGGGAGTGACTTCATGAAGATGGTAGGGTGGGAAACTGCAGGCTCTCCTCCCTCCCACAGAGATATTGAGTTACCAACAATGTATGTATGGAATAGAATAACTCTGTGAGAATCCTAGACACTAGTTTAGAAGCTATAGCACTCAGGACATTGTAAACCATAGAAAGTGGTAGGAATATTCACTCTGTTTGGTGACCTGCTTGACTTCCTTCCTTTATGCTGCATGGCATGGAGTAACCAGAAGGAAATGCTCCATATGGGGGCCTCAGTATGGGGAAGAAACAAAAACAGTGGACTATGTGCCCAGTGTCTGGCTTGTTCAGGGGCTTCGTGAAGGACTGATTCCTGCCTTCCCTGAGTCAGAGCACAGAGGAGACTGGTGCTATTAATAGAATTTGGAAGTTGCTGAAAACAGAGGCCAGTAGCGCATTAAAGCTACAACTCCATAGGCAAACTCCAGGGGGAGCAGGAGAAGCGAAAAGGTTTGGAAGATCCTAGAACCTCTAGCTGGGCTGATTGGCAATGGCCTTCCCATGTACAAAGCCAGTATGTAAAGGCTGGGAGAGGTGGTTGTTTTTTCCAAAAATGCCC